CTTCGTCTGTGTCGCTGGCCCCCTCGTCACTGTCGGATTCCGTGCGTCTGGTAGCGAGCGTAGCGAGGCCACTCCCCTGCAGCGAGCATTTGCTCTGGAGCAAATTTACGCCAGTTGCGTTCACACGCGCACATTTGCTTCGGTGCTGCTTCGCAAACGAGCATTTGCTTCGGAGGAAATTTTTAAACCACCTCCCTGAGGTGGATCAAATTTAATGCGCACTAGGCTGTTGAGCGGCGCTACGTCGAAGTAAATTTGCACGTGTGAACGCTCCACTGGCGTAGAGTCGGTGCAGCGTCGGAGTAAATCTTGTCGTGTGAACGGGGCTTTATTCCGTCGTATCGAGCGGAGTTACTTGAGTTAGCGCTACTGCGGGCTTCCGTATCGTCTCCCTCTCCCTCCCTGTGCTCTGCAACTTCAAGTAATTCTGCCACCTGGCGTTGAAATGCCTGTCATTACAAGTCCAAATGAAATGAATGCAATCATTTACATCGAACCTTAATTGTGTACTGTACCAACCTTCGGCGGGCCGGATTAAAAAGACCAACGGGCCGGATCCGGCCCTCGGGCCGTAATTTGCCCAGGTCTGGTTTAGAGTAATGGTTCTTAACCTGGGTTCGATTGAACCCTAGGGCAGGGGTAGCCAACCCGCGGCTCATGAGCCGCATGCGGCTCTTTGGCTGGTTCAATGCGGCTCGCGGGCTTTCTCATGACAAGCATCGAAAACGCCTCGGATTCACAGAACTAACTACGTCAGCCTATCATCGAGCCCGTTTTGATTGACAATCAGGGCAACCAATCAGATGACAACTGAATCACTGCTCGAGCGCAAACAACGGTGCTCAGCGCTAAGCGCTAAGCTAGTCAGCTTTAAAGGTCGGGGTGACCAATGTGTCAATCGTGATCGACCCGGACCGAGCGGACTGGTCCCAAGTCGAGCGTGAGCGTTGGGAGGAGGAAATGAGGGGAGGTGGACTTTCTATTAATGAAGTTCCGGCTGTCGCTCATCTCAGTGTGCGTGCCTGCATGTGTGCGTGCGTGTACGTGTGCGTGCCATCACTGGCTCCAGATGATCACATTACATTGCTCGTCCAATCAGTGCTGCGGGACATTTAGTTTGCTCAGTAGGCAACGTGTGACTGTTGTGATTTCTATGTCTAGAATTTGTAAAAAGTCATTGTTTTTCACGAATGAAGGGTTCGGTGAACGTCCATATGAACTGCTTGGGTTCGGTACCTCTAAGAAGGTTCAGAACCACTGATTTACAGTGTTCAATCAGCCTGCCATGCATGTTTTTGGAATGTGGGAGGAAACCGGAGTACCCGCAGAAAACCCACGCAGGCATGGGGAGAACATGAAAACTCCACACAGGGAGGCTAGAGCTGGAATCGAACCCAGTAACTCTGCACTGTGAGGTTGATGTGCTAACCACTGGATTACCGGGCCACCATTGCTTGTACAACAAAGGTGAAAGAAAGTTTTCATGAAAAGTTCAGTCATTCAGGAGGTCACATTTTGTTCCAGAGAGCTTGTGTCACATGCTTAAACTCAAGATGCTGATTGGAAAAAAGAGGAGATCTGAGTACTGCAATTGATTGCTCATTCTCAAGTGCATGAATATTTGTCACATTAACTGAATTTGCGCATTAAAAATTGGAATTTTTACTCGTAAAACTAAATCCTTCATTTGGTGTAAAAAACGGGGAAGCCTTCAACACTAGGAACAACATCCTCACTGTCAAAACATGGTGCTGGGAATGCTTTGGAAGTATTTTTTCAGCCATGGACCAGGTAACCCAGTCACAGTAAATGGCACCATGAAAACAAGCAGTCCATCAAGATTCAACAACATTGGGTAGTCTGCAGAGAAACTTGGTCAGCAGACAAAACAAACACTTTGCAGTGGCCCAGCCCAGGTACTGATTCTAATTCGAGCACAAATTTGTGGAGTGAACTCAATATCAGGGTGATGGCAAGGAGATCCTTCAACCTGAAAGAGGCGAGGCTCATCACTAAAGACAAATGGGCAAAAATACCAGTGACTACATGCAAAAAGCGGATAAGTAATTATAGGAAGCAGTTTATTGCTGTAATAGCTTTTCTATCGATTACTGAGAAGAGTGATAATAACGCTGGTCAACAGCTAATTTTGATCAGAGATGGTTTGGTGTGTCCCTAATGTATTTTAGACATTGATTTCAAAAATGTTTTTCCTATTTTTTCCAAGCACATCAGGTTTTTTTTTTTTGTGACCTTGTGTATAAATGTTTGTGCAATATGGATAAATAATAATTGCCATCCATGGCTTACAACTGCTGCAACAAAGAGGCACTCTAAAGGAGACACACCAGCCTGAAGTCCGTTTCCAAACACTGGTTATCTCGTCAGACTCCCTATCGCCCTCACTCTTCCGCCCACCCCCCATGACCTGCGCATACATTCGCCCAACGAGGCACTCTAAAGCAGCCACAATAGTGGACTATTCGATGGAAAGTTGCATTTTCATATTATCTACATAGATAGCTAGCCAAATGCAAACTGCTGTTGTGAATTGCAAATTCCTATACAGAGGTGTAAGCATATTGGTTTGAACCAGGAAACATCATTTGGGTGAGAAATGTTACAAGAATTAGCATTTTAGGTGACTGTGACATCTGTGTTGCGACACCGAATAAAAACTTGTAGCCGACGGTCACCCACTCATAAGAACTTGTTGCGCAACCCTGTACGCTGCAGTCACTCTGTGCGGTGGGGCCATAGGTGTTTTTAGCTCCATATAGCCAATGCGGTTCCAAATACACTCACCTCCTTCAGCTTCTTTGAGTCTGCTCCTGCCTTCTTAGACTTCTTATGTGCTTCATAAACCTTGGGCTCCACACTGTACATGCACTCAGTCCATTTGCCATAAATCATGCGGCATTTCTTCTTCCTGGTTCAGTAGCACAGATGCAAACCGGATGTAGTTCAAGATTTCTGGCACACTGAACATGAACAAATTGGACTGCTCTTACCCGCTGTCTTGTATGTGACCCTCCACTTTGTGCAGCTCTTTCCCAAACATTCCACCCGGTTTGAAGTTCAACACACACTTCTCTCCTGTGCTAAATTATCACCATCAGCACAATGTCAGTACTGTAGTACATCGCTGAAAATGCTTCCACGCTTACAAGAAAATATCTGTCAAGGTACCTGTGGTTAACAATCTCTACTGTTCCGTACTGCTCGATCCAAATCTTTCCTATAATGACGTTATGCACGCAGCACATTGGGTTGGACCATGTGTATGCTTCTTTATGTCTGAAAGAAATTCACAACATCTTCAAGAATGCTTTGCTAGTTTGATTAACCAGGGGTCACCGATTTTGAGAGCCCCCTATCCTGCATACCTTATGTTTCCATCCTCCAACATGCCTGCTTCAAATGATCAGGATCGTTATCAGGCTTGTGCAGAGCTTGCTGATGGTTTGATCATTTGAATCAGGTGTGTTGGAGGAGGGAAACATCTAAAACATGCAGCATAGGGGCCCTCGAGGACCAGAGTTGGCGACCCCTGGATTAACCAGTCTGAGACAAAAAGGTAGAAGTTTTGCCTTCAGCCAATGACATATATTAATAATTTCTTCACCTTGTCAAGGTAATTTATTAGCTTTTTTAAAGTCCCTAATTAGCTACAGAACATGACTTCAGGATGGCGTTGTATTGATGTTGGTGGCAATAGTTTGTGATGGTAATATACTGGACTCAACTCCTTTCAGGAAGATGAGTCAAGAAATGCAACCATGTGCTACCGGGAACCACTTCAAAATAAAAGTGTACCAAGGCACAGATGTTCATGTATTATTTGGTAAGGTTTATTTTGATGTTAGCCTTCTCGATTCAATGGCAGCATGTTATCATCATGAATACCATGAAGAAGTGTTGCTGCGTCTGGCTTGATTTGTTAACTGAGTCAGAAAGGTTTTTTTTTTCTTTTTCTTAAATGTCGAGGTACTTAATTTACCTGAGGACTCATTTCAAACCTAGTAAACACTAATGTGAGAATGATTCAAAAAGGGTTTTTGACATTTTCCTGGATAAATAATCCCCAAACATGGTGCCCCCAGACTCTAGAGGTGTGGGAAAACAATGCTGGAATTACAGTCAAGCAACCCACAAATTACAGTGCAATATGATACGTAGTACTGTATAAAAATGTCCATTGTGCCAAATAACCCTATAATTTTAATGTCATTATTTTGATGTGTGGGTGTAACACTGACAACTCCTACGCTGTCCAAGTCCCACTAACTCGAGCTCCAAAGCCACCCTGTCACCGGGTCATCAGCCCGGGTCGCTATATCAACAGCTTTGAAGTTTCAGAGGTTCTACTTAACATGAACTCACGCAGCACAAGCTGGAGTACTTAACATTGGGTTAGCACTCTCGGCATGACTAATGGATTTACACTCAATGCAACCGTTACACGACTGCAAATATTAGCTTCCCCTTGGTTTGAGTGGTCACGCCTGGAGAAAAACAAAGTGATTACATTGACATGTCGCTGCTCAATGCACATTGCCACAGGTGCAAAAAAAAATAATTGAAATGTCAAGGGGAAACACAAGCAAGTTTGACAAACATATACAGCTTAGGATGGCCCATAGAAAATGTGCATCTCACCTCACAGAACTGTTTTTCTTAGGTAACAGAGGATCATTAAGAATACTGTTAAAGCACAATAAGCAGTATCATTGAGAGCAGTAATATCGTTCCAACCGAATATCAACAAGTTCTCACTTCAATAACTCCAGCGTCATGGTGCCTCTAGGTTGGGCCTCCACACTTTTGCCCCAGAATGTGAGTTTGGGGTAGACGGATCCATGGAATGCAAATTCTTGCTTCAATGACTCTGCATGGAAGGCACTGACAGGAGGGTGATGGCTCACCTGCTCTGAGATCAATCTGTAGCCATCTTCCTCTCTTCAACAAAGAAAAAAAAATATTTAAGAGACCAGATGAATCTGACTTTTTGGGAGGTGGAAGCACAAGCCTTCTCAAGCATTCTTTTGTACCTTGTGAGTTCAAACGTCTCCCCCAATAACGGATTAAATGGCTTTCCAGTCCGTTCCCATTGAGATGCTACAGCTGAAACCGCAAAGGCAGCAACAACCTGTTGTTATGGGAGGGGAGGGGGGGTTAATGTTCAGTTTACTTCAAGATGCTGTCTGGACTTGCTCCGAAAATCCCAATTTGCCAATTGTGCCGACATCAGTGAACAATTTCCAATTGAAACATTACTTCATCTGACATATTTTCGGGGTAGGGGTGGGTATTAAAATTGACCCTAAATAGTAAATAGAAAAGACTTAAGAGGCACTTATCTACAACAGACAATTCCCAAAGCATTTTACAAAGCCAGACATTAAATTATTTGAAAACGTATTAATACAATCAGCAGCCGCATTGCTGACGCATTGTTTTAACGACATAATAATTATTCAAAAGGCTTAAGTAAAACCTGATGTTGTATTGTGGCCTATCGGTTGTCGGTTATTGCACACTTGGTGTTGTAAAGTGATGGTAAATATTCCTCGTGGCAAACATCCTGAATGCTGGATGGGTAAACTTTCATGCTATGTGGTAGGGACATATGGAGACAAAAGATATTAGCGAGAGTACGCCTTGGCTGGATGATGATGCTCATACTGTATAGTTGCCATCTGGGGTATGTTACCTCCAAGTTAATTTTAACTCAATTAACTCAATTAATTCTTTCGCGATTTTATGTATGTACTTATGTGTGTACGTATGTGTGTGTGTGTGTGTGTGTGTCTGTGTGTGTGTGTGTGTGTGTGTGTTTACAGCAGGAAATTATTGGTTATTGATATTTCGAGTGTTAACACCACCATGCTAAGTCCTTAGCAATTTTTTTTTTTTTTGAGGGGGGCGGGGGGTAATTTAATAGTTATTGCTCTCCAGGGACTTGCTTATCAGTGTATCATAGTAGCAGAGTAGCTAATGTGGGCAATTTGAATAATTGATGGGAGTGGGATTAAGTTTTCTTCTTCCTACTCCCTTACAGGCAAAATTGACTTTTGTTACCAATTTGCTCTTTTGTTTTTTGTTTGTTGAAAAGATTACACTGAGTGGGTTGCTGTTGCTCTGACCGGAAACAAAAAAATAAAAGCGAAATGATATGGAAAAAGATTTAAATGAAAATGAATTTAATAGCTGCATTTATAAACAATGCACATACATTTTTTATGCTTTTACATTACAACATTCATTCATTCATTCATCTTCCGAACCGCTTGATCCTCACTAGGGTCGCGGGGGGTGCTGGAGCCGATCCCAGCTGTCTTCGGGCAGTAGGCGGGGGACACCCTGAATCGGTTGCCAGCCAATCGCAGGGCACACAGAGACGAACAACCATCCACGCCCACATCCACACCTAGGGACAACTTAGAGTGTTCAATCAGCCTACCATGCATGTCTTTGGAATGTGGGAGGAAACCGGAGCACCTGGAGAAAACCCACGCAGGCCCGGGGAGAACATGCAAACTCCACACAGGGAGGCCGGAGCTGGAATTGAACCCGGTACCTCTGCACTGTGAAGTCGCCGTGCTAACCACTGGACTACCGGGCCGCCCTACATTACAACATTAACAATTAAATACATCAGGTGAAAAAGATTGTCTTCAGTTTATATTCCTTTTTTTTTTAAAGTACAGTAGAACCTCATGAATGACGGCTCATAGCTCGTAAAACTAAGTCACTCGTATCTGAAGACACCACTGTATTAACTTTTTTTTCCGAACACTGTTGACAAACTGACAGTCACTAGAGTCATTACTTCATACCTGCATGCGTTCTATGGAGTCAGACAAAGCGCATGCTCTGTGGATAAGGTGAGTATGTTCCATGTACTCCGAGAGTCTCTGGAGGAAGCTGAGTGGCTCATTAAACACAATCGGCATGGCTATTTTGGACAGCTCCTATAGCAACACAACATAAAACAACATTGACAGTGTTTAGAAATACTGCCCCTTTTATTCGGTGTACAATGTAAAGTACTGAAAGAAAAAGAGCAGTTCGATCCTGTGTAATGTTACTCGCGTTCCTATTTTGGTCCTTCTGATGATCCAAAAATGTGATAGCCAACCCAAATATAGCTAACTGAACAGAGAAGAAGACCAAGAGTTTATTTTCAACAACACAATCAAGAGGAAACAAATCAGGAACAGGTGCAAGTAACTGTTGTCATTGCGGGACAAATACAGTATGTATGAGCGATGCAGTTGGGCATGCTGGGTGAAAAGCCAGCATTTCGCAAAATGAATGAATTGCGTGTCAAAGCATGATGGGTGACTATAAGCATATGTATTTCATTCTATTCGAGGTATACATCTTGTTGAAAATTCAAGTTATGACTGCTTTTGATCGTTTCGTTTTTTTGTGTCGACATCTATTACTCACCATGCCAATACATTTCCTCAAGATGCTTGTCACACTGAAATTGCCTCTGGTGACCATTTTAGCAGGCAGGGTTTCCCTGGTTAAAAATAAATAAATAAATAAAATTAAAAAAAATAATGTGATGTTTTGTTTTGATTGGAAATCCCAACAAACTGAAATATTTCTACTATACGCAAACATCAGTTGGCCAACACATCTGCTTAGTCATCAGTTACACATTAGGAATGGAAGGAAGTGGTTCAATTGTTTGGGTATAGTGGCCAGCACCATGGCTGAGTTGTTAGCACCTCACACTTCTGATGTTCAGGGTTTCAATCACTCCAACATTTCAAAAAAAATGCATGTGAGGTTCACTGAAGATTCAAAATAAGAGGTTTCAATCTTATTTTTGTCATGGGCCACATAAACCATAGAAATGTATGATCACCTCACCATATTACATATACAAAACAAACTGACTGATGCATTGGTAGCACTGGTGCAACCAGCTTTTTCACTTGTTGGTACCAACTCAGACTGGTCGCACCTATTTGGGGCAGTAGAGCGTGACCATATTTGCTGATGTAAAGTTGTCTCAATCGGCATACCGTTCTTTTGTATGATGTAAAGATTGACAGTGTCGAAAATATATTTGCAAAATATTTTACTGTAACAACAACTGACAGCTAAACAACTTCAAATTCCTTTTCTTTGTATTAGCTCAACAAAACATAAAAAGGCAACTTTTTTTTCAATAACTTTTATAGATATGAAATACACACCCAGACCCACTTTCACACACTACTGATATTTTTATCCATATTGAAGTCTTAAAGGCCACAAAATATGAGTTTATTATTTAGATATTGGGAATATAAAATCTCATTGAACATTTGACATCCCAACCACTAGACTTAAGAATGAAAGCCTATTGGTTTGATTTGGTATTGTGACAAATGATTGTAATTAATTGTGACTTAAGCATTGTGTTTCCCAAGATGGTGCGCTAACTGGCAGCAGTCTTCAAGAGCTCTTCTTTTTGTTGATGTTTTTTTTTTTCCATTTGTTTACGTCATATGGTGTCTGTTGTCCTACATATGGACCCATTGTGGACCGTTCTCAGCGTTTTGGGTGTAACATTCGTCGAAGGAGAGGGTTCTATGGTTGATAGTTGCGCCTTCTCCACAGCATGCATGTTCCAACACTGATTTTTGATGGCAGGAATATCTGCGTTATTTGGCTGTCGTCCCTTGACAGCCGTGAGGCTTGTGTTTTTTGCACCTGTGGTGGGCAATATTTTTTATAGCCTCGTTTTATTCAGCAGACATGTCAACACTGTTGGACACTCTACGTTGGTGCGGCCGGTTGTTGTTGCTGATATGTTTCGGAGCTGATATGTTTTGGGTCGAAGTAGAGCTGAGAGGGAGAAGGAAAAAAAATTCTTTGCGTAGCTGTGATCGGGGATTCTCCGTTTTGCCCGACACCATGTAAAGGTAGTTCCCGAAGTCGGGCTACTGAGGCTGGATGGATGGCTGGTGGGGCTGAGGATGAGCAGAGGAGTGTCGGTGCGGAGTGTAGATTTGTATTTGGAAGTGAACAGCGTCGATGCTTGAAACTGAAGTGGATCTAAACGGGACAGGAGAACTCAACCGATCTCTGTATTCGTCAACGGATGCAACAGCTTCTTCTTTACTTTCAAATTTAGCTTGTCGTAGACATATGTGGCATCATGCACACTGTGATCATGACACCTCTGCCCCACTTGTAAATGGAGACTCATTTTCTCATCTTTCATCTGTCACCACTTCTACCAACAAGGCGTTTGTAGGAATAGTTGTTATGATTGTATTACAGTCAATATTTTATGTTGTGTTCTGTGGGATTATTGTTACTTGCTGGTAAATTTTCAAGAGAATCCTTTGTTACAGCTGCAGCTATTGTGCGTTACCTAAAGATGTATTGTTATTAAGTAAAATAGCAAAGTAATCTCACCCCATCAGTCTTCTTGATGTATACCAGCTTTTATTGATTGATAGAAAGCCCAAATTATTCAGAGATTTGTAACTATTATCGTTTACCGCATCGAGGAACTTTTTTTTTCTGTTTGAGTGCACCTCGCGTCGAGCCTAACGCAAGAGGTGTAAATGTTTAAGCAAGCAAATGCTTAATAAAAGTTAGTAGTTTGAGACCCAACCATCGATATACAGTACATAGTGTTTTTCAACAAAATTACCAACAGCATTTACAATTCCACATGCACCGGTGAAGATAGACAAGTGCGATATCTCCGTTGCCAAAATGCGATACAGGTTGTAGAAGCCTCAGTGAATAGGAGGGAGCTGAATTGGATGCCGTCCTTTTTGAAGCAAACAGGACTAGATAAAGTTAGATGGCAGTTAATTTGGAAAAGTAAACATCCAGAGTTGGATATTTATTTAATTGATAAAGGGAGGATTTAACCTGACGTGTGTTCCACCTTCTGTGTGCAGTGTGGCAGTGTGTGCCATGCACTTTCAAGGCCTGTGGGGTTTTTTTTTTGGTCCCATCATGCTTACAATAACAAAGATAAGCATTACAGGGAAAAAAGTTGACTGTTTCACAATACTTTCGTATTTGATTCACACTACAAAACAGAACATTTTGCAAAAATCGGCAGATTTTTTTGCCATTTAAAAAAAAAAAAAAAAGCTGTGTTGAAGATGGATAGATGGATGCTTGAGTAATTTGAGTACCTCAGTTCAAAAAAAATGCTCAAGGCATCTTTTCTGCTACAGGAACCTGTTTATTTATTTATATATTTATTTAGTGTAGATTGTCAGGAAAAAGTCAAGCCAACTCCAGGAACAAGTGCCCATGCTATGCATGACCATAACACGCGGCCAATGTGGTGAGAGCCAACTTCAAAATAAACCTTACCAAATAACATATGGACATGAATTCCTCCTTCCTTTTATTTTGAAGTTCTTCCCGGCAGCGCATCGCAGCGTGATGGCTGAGGCTGTCTCTTCACTCACATTCCAGACTTTAGTTGAGGCCATTTTATATTGCCATTAAAACAATAGCCACTGACATTAACAAGATGACGCCGTCCCAAAAATAAGTTCAATCGCTACTTAAGGACGCCCAAAAGAACTCTAATTCGGCCCATATTGTATTGTATGACGCATGTTGGCAGCGTGTAACAACAGACAGCCGCGAAGCAAGTGCCCCAAATACGCTGACGAGAGTCGGTGCATTGCTTTTCAAAGGCGGTTTTAATAGGTGACAATGACTTTGCCTCAGTTGTGGTTCATATTGGTCACTTTTTAAATAAACCAGGTTTGGTCAAATGTGCAGTTTTAGACGACAAAATCTCTTCTGTAGTTGTGACGTCACTCAATCTATAGACCAAAACATGAAAAGAATTGTCTAAAATCTTACCGTGTCTAGGGAGGACAATAGTGTGCTGCTAAGGACAGTTTGAATTCAAGTAAAAAAATGTTGTTTGTCCAAAAATGAAAAATAGTTGGCTGTGGGTTTTTTTTTTTTGTCTTCTGTATCTTTCCCCAAGCAAAAATATTTTATTTTTAGCAGAGTTTCATTTCAATCATTTGATAGAATTTTCGATATACTAAAATCAGTGGCAGACCCTGAGGGCCAGCAAGGCCTTCTCTGCTGGCCTAAACATTCTCAGAAAAGTAAATTTACTTTTATGTATTTTATGTTGTTTTATAATTTATGTTATTTTATTTTCATAAATATGTTAACAAAATTATCCTCTGTCTTCTTTACATCATATTATTTCCACTTAGTTGAGTGGCTGTTATTTTAAATAACATTGAAAGCCACTCGATAAATAACTTATTTATTATGGTAGAGTTTTTAACCAATCATATTTCAGCTAGCTTGCGTTGCCAGGTAAATTAAACTTGCTCGGGGCCTTC